AATCTTGAAAGACTCAAAGTGTGTATTACACAGCTGATTGTAACATCTATAGAAAGAATTATTAAACTGTAAGATAGAACTGAAAAATTATCCCTAAGACACCATGAAAAATTAAGGAGATGGAAAATACGAGAGGTTAAGTTATGTGGAAGTGAAAAGAGAACTTTTAAAATATGTCTAGGGCTGGGGATGTGGCTCAAGCGGTAGCGGGCTCGCCTGGCATGTGTGCGACCCGGGTTCGAGCCTCAGCACCGCATACAAACAAAGATGTTGTGTCCGCTGAAAACTAAAACAATAATATTAAAATTCTCTCTCTCTTTAAAAAAAAATAATAAATAAATAAATAAATAAATAAATAAATAAAATATGTCTAATCAAGACCCAAAGGCAGAAAATACAATGAAAGACGACATAGAAGACAACATTAGAGGGGATTGTGCATGAAGATTTTCCAAAACTATTGAAAAGCATGAAACCACAGATCTAGGAAATATAATGTCCCCCAAACAATGTAAATAAAAACAAGTACACACTCTCCATCCATCACAATGAAACTGTAGAACACTAAAGAAAAAGCTCTTAGGTATTAAGACAGAAGTTTCCATGAACGTAAATTCTTGTTTTACTCCCGTTTTTGGCCCTTAGGTACAAAGTCATTACCCATTATTATTACCACCTTTCAAGGCCTCTCTGTTGACTGACTGATTGATTCTCTTATTCAATTTATTTCTTCTCTGTAGCTCTAGACCTTATTCCCATTCTCTTCCCTGCCTCATAGACAACCATTTTAAAGTGCATCATTTTGTGTATGCTCTGGAAAAAAGTGCAATGTCATTTTGTATGAATATATATTTAATTCAAATAGTGGCACTGAGTCACAGATCACAATCTACTTAATAAGATCTATCTATACCATATAGCAGTATTTTTCTAACCAGAGGCCATGTTTCAATAGTGAGTCATGGAACCAATTTGGTGGACTCTAGCAGCATTTTTAAAAATGAAATAGAATATAATAGCAAATAACAAAATTTATCAGAAGTCATAAAGGTAGGTTTTATTTCCTAATACTTTGTTTCACTTATATATATATGCATATGTATATACATATATACTCAAGTACATATTTTATATATACAGTATTTATGTTTGAGATTATGATATTAAATATAGTTCTTAGAGGAACACAATCAAAAAACCATTTAAAAAAATCTCTTCTTCTATGAGATGTAGTAGAGGCACAAAGGAGGCAGTTATCAGTGCTACCAAAGTGGTGGTTTTAGGGATTACAAGCTAGGACCAAAGAGATATTTGTGTTGATACTTGGGAGGGTTTTTCTTGGCTGATAAAAGGAAGAATATGCCAGGTTATGATGAAAGATCCATGAAAATGGGCATGTAATTTGGATTTTTAGAAGGCAAATTAGGTTAAAGTTAATGCAGCGTAGAGTGGGATGGGGAAGGGATAGTTGGAGATAAAAGTATGGCAGGAACCCTATTGTAAAGAACTACATGGACCATCTCAAGGAGTTGGGACATTATCTCATGGACCATGAATAGGCACTAAAAGATTTTAGGCAGGGACATGATATGATTCATTGTATGAATTAGACAATTCTGGCAGCATCTAGGGAATCATGACTGAGTGGACACAAGTATTGTCCACCCAAATCAGAATGGAGAAAGCCATAGCTTTGAGGAAGAAGAGGATGAGTAGTCAGCATAGTTCCAGTTTCCAATATATTATAGATGGTATACTGATGAAATTATTTGCTACCCTTTACCCAGGATACCACTCAGGCTTAGTCATATGACTTTTTTTGGCTGATAAAAGAGAGTTAAAGAGATGGAAGCTTGGAGCACTATCCTGGGCTTCTACGTGCTCTCTTTTTCCTCTACCATCAGAGTTGCCGTGTTTAAGCCAGAATGCTTTTGGCCTGCACCCTAAAGTGGGGATGATGTGGAGCACACTGAGGTCAACCAGTGGTGACCAAGTAGAGAAGGTGAGAAAGAAAACTTTGCTATTATAAGCTGCAGAGTTGAGGACATGTTTGTTACAAGAGCATAATCTAGCCTTCCT